CGCAGGTGCGTCGCCCGGCGCCACATTTCCCTGCGCCTGTGTGACACGCTGCAGGAGCCGTGCGTCAACGTGAGGGGCGAGGTCGTACAGCATGGCCTCCAGCGAATGTGTGTGTGAAAGAGAGAGAGAGAGAGAGGATAGACAGAATAGGAAACAGTGCGATATACCTCTAGAAATAAGGAAGATGCATTACAAAAAACAAACAAACATATCCGCAGAGAAATACATATACGATTGTGTCCCTTTGTCATTGTGCCTGTGGAAGGATCTGCACCAATACAGAGAGGCCTGACTCCCAACCCCGCGCCTTTTTCACACGTGGTGGTGGTTGTGCTTCTTTCCTTTTGTGACTTTGGTTTTCTTCCTGGTGCCCCGTAAAGGCATCGTAGAGCTATCGGTAACTAATCACTGACGACGGACCCTCGCTCCCTCCCTCCCATTGTCACTGGCGTCCGTAATCTCCGACCCCCCTTGTTTTCTTCCTTCTCCCTCTTCTTCTCTCCCTCACACGCTCCCATTCTCCATCCCTCAGAGACACCTTTTCTCTTCCCCCATCCCCTCTCTCTCTCTCTCTCTCAAGTAGCTACTACAGCTTGAGATCCGTCTTGTGGGACTGCGAGCGATCAATGAGAAAGTCGTACCACTTCTCCTCCGGCTTCAGGTCGAGTGGGCGGAGCAGCGGCAGCAGCACTTCACGCCCGACGCGGCAGTTTTCACACGTGTACAGAAGCTGTTTAAGCCCGTCCTCCTCCTTCGTCGGAAGCTTGAGCACCTCCTTCGTCATCGTGCAGGTATAGTAGTGGCAGTCCATGCACTTCAGGCACCGCGTGCTTTGGTGCAGATCGCGCGAGGTGACGGCGACGTGCGTGCTGTCCGCGCAGTATGGGCATTTCCACACGCGGTAGTGCGCGCAGCCATTGACGAACTCCAGGTACTGTCCCGGCTCCATCACCGCACGCAACGTCGCGTCGTCGCGCACACGCTGCATGAGACCGTGGCACGTCGGGCACACCGTGTCGATCATCTGGCTCACCAGCACTGTCGTGCACAGCACGAAGATGATGGCCCCGAAGACGAGGTACGGCACATCAGAGACGCCGTACGCCACCGTCTTGCCGGCAAAGCGCACCTTGTTGCGCGTTGGCATTGCGAGCAGCCCACGCTGCCACAGTGGCCGCATCTCCTGCGCCTGTCGCGCAATGGCGTACACCAGCTGCACTGTCGCGTAGCTTGCCTGCCCTTTGCGCACGAGCGGTTGAAATATCTCCCGCACCGCCGGCTCGAGGAAGTGGGAATCGAAGTACTCCTCAATCGCTGGGCTCGCAATGAGCTGCACCGTCGCTTCGCGCTGAGCAATCACGAGCAGCAGGCCGTTCCCCGCCGGCTCACCGATCTCCCAGTCGAACATGATGGAGTGTGAGAAGGCGCGGGGCGTCGTGTAGCCAACCGTTGGCACGAGCACAACGTACATGTCCACCTGGCACAGCGACTGCATCTTGTCGATGGCCTGCTCGATCTCCATGCGGTCCTCACTTGTGAGGAGGCCGCACAAGTCAGTCACACGCTTCTTGGCGTAGCGCGGCACCAGCTCCCATGGCCGGTCGGTCTTGCGGTAGTGAATCTCATCGAAGGTCTGAATCTTGTCAAATGAGGCAATAATCTCCTTATTATTGCGGCGGCGGCCCGCCTTGATGTCTTCTGCTAGGTCTCGGCTCTGTCCGAGTTTCGCCAGCGGCGAAAGAAGATCCACCCCCGCGCCGCGACGCGCGATGAGGAGAGATGGGCGGAATGCCAACACGACGTGACGCCCTGTCATAGACACGAGGCTGGCGCCGCTACTTCTGTGATGGCTGCTGCTGCCGCTGCTGCTGCTCAGATAGGAGTGAGCACGCGAGGCGCACGCAACCGTGACACGGACACCAATCCACGCCCGCCGCATCCTGTGAAGGAAACGCTACACACCTTTAATGACGCATGGCAGTAAGGAGAAAAAAGCAAGCAAAGACGAGCACTCCGAAAAAAAAAAAAGCAAAACGGGAACACGTACATGGAAGTAGGGACCACCCAGGCGTAAAAGGATGACGCGCCAGGCCTCCCTGGGCCCCACAGCACCTTACGCGCTTCCACGCCCTTTCTGTTCCCATTCACTTCTACGTGGTCATTGTAACACAAATGGAATGTCACAGTTATACACGCACACGTGTGTGTGTGTGTGTGTGCGTGTGTCACCGCTGCAGCAACATGTCCTCCGGCTGTAGCGACTGCTGCTCCAACGCCTGCACCTCCAAATCCAACCGACACATTTCAAGGTTGCTGCGCGCAACTACCCGCCGGTATGTATCCAGCACCCGTGCCAGCCGCTCCTGCAGACGCCGTGCACGCACCCCGTTGCTGCGGCAGAGTGCGTGCAGCTCAGAGGGGTCGCTGCTGTCGTCAGCGCACGCAGAGAACACGCCAGCACACACATCTGCAGTACCGTCGATGAGCGGGCGAAGCGTTTCATACGCCCTTGACGCGCGTTGGCGCAGCTCGCGGAACTCATCTCTGTGGCGGTGCGACTGCTGGCGCAACCAAACTAGGCGGCGGGCCGTCAACTCTTGTTGCTGTGCGCCACCTTCGTCTGCAATCGATGCATCGCTGCTGTTCCTGTGGCTGTTGTGTGTGCAGACATCGTTGGCCACATCACGGTTACACGAATCGCCGGCGTCAGCAGCACGACGCACACATGTCTCAGAAGTGCTGCGCAGATCAATGAGAGACTCCGTCGCCAGCTGCTCCATCAATGTGTTCACAGCGTCCACCGACTCGTTGAGCGTCTTCCGCTCACGCAGGGACGCACGCAGCGCATCCACGCGGTGGCGCACCTGCAGCGGCGGCCGCGACAAAACCGCCGATCCGTTCCCAAGAGCAGTGGCATTCCCCTCCTCGCCACGGCGTTGTTGCTGCTCCTGCTGCTGGTGGTGGTGGTGATACCTATCAACCTCCTCGAGAACTCGGGCGAGACGTTGCGAGAGACGGCTCAGTACATCTTGACAGCAGGCGGGGCTTGGTCCCAGCGTGCGTGTCGTCGCCTCCTGCATCTGTGGGTGCACCGCCACGAGTCGACACACAGACACAGACACGCACAAACACAGAGAGGCACGTGTACCGCAGCTTTCGCACGGTGTGTGTGTATTTGTACTCGCACAGCAGTGAAGAAAGGAAAGGAGCAGAAGGACACCCTCAACCCAAAGCCGAGCCGCAAGACATCATCACCGATTGCCCCCGCCAGATGCATCGGGGAAGAAGCCCTCGGGAGGCGCACGGCAAACGTTAGAGTCAGGCGACTCTTTTCTTTTTTGTTTTTGTTTTCCTTCTAACACTTGTACACACAACGGGCCACACAATTCCACGCGCCCGACAGACGGCGCCCCTCTAACGTGACCGGCAACACGACAACGTTAACAGTCAGCGAAACCACAACGCTCCACTCCCCCACCCCCCCACAAAAAAAAAAGAACGAAACAACAACACCAACCACATTCAAAAAAAAAAAAAAGAGAAAATCAAAAAGTCCTGCATTCTTTAGACAAACGGCTTTCCGTGCACCTTCAGGTCCTTCACGCGGAAGCCCGCCGCCCCGCCGCTAAACACGCACCGCACCCGGTCAATGGGGAATAGGCGGGCGCTGATGAGCACCTTCATCGTCTGCACGCCGCGCATGTCGCGCAGCTCGCCGCTGCCGACTGCAAGGAAGTCCATCCCGTGGGCGTGCTTCACCTCCACCTCGTACGACGTTGGGCCCGCGCCACCCCCCGGCGTTGCAACGGTGATGTAGGAGAGGCTGATGGGTTGGGGGAAGTCAAACATCACCGTGTTGCCGTCCGCCGTGCAGAGCGGCGCACCAGTTGCGGTCCCCGCGACGGCAGCTGGCTGGCCTCCATTGACCCCACCTTCCCCTACCCTCTTTTCGCTGCGGCTGCGACTGTCCCTGTCGGCGTTATCCTCTGCTGCAGGCATCATGAGCAGCAAAGAGTCGTCATCATTATCGTAGTCCCCACGGTCCGTTTTAGCGGCAGCAGTCTTTGGGCGCTCCCGACGCAGCGAGGCCGGCGCTGACTGGGTGCTGCTGCTGCTGCTGGGGTGGCGGCGGCGGCGGCAGCTCCGCGTTTGTTGCGGCGTCGCACGCCGCCTCGTTTCCTCCGCGCCTTCCACACTGCGGTTTGCAGCAGTGCTACTGTTCTTGTTACTATTGCTGCTTCTGCTGCGATGACGGCACAGAGCCGCACGAGCTTCCGTCCGCAGCCTTGGACTCACCGCCTGTAAGGAGGAAGCTGGTGACTTCGTCGCCACCCCCGCATGCTCATTCTCCTTATCAACATTGCGGCTGCTGTTGCTGTTTGTGCGCAACTTTCGTACTGCGTGTTGCCCCCGCATCATCGCCGCTTTCGTCGTGTGGAAGGAGCTCCCCAGCTGGTCCTCATGTCGTGCAGCAGCTGCTGCTGCTGCAGCTGAAAGCCTCGGGACGTAAAAAACCGCCTCGCGACTGGGGAAGAAGACCTTTGGAAATGCCACAAAACGCACCTGCCGCGTGGTCGCCGCTGCAAGACTCAGCGGCCCCGTGTAGAGCGCCGACGTTTGCGTGGGCGTCGTCCCGTCGAGTGTGTAGCGGTATTCTACCATTGGGTGCGTTGACTCGAGACTGACTGTGCTGTCGTGCGGGGAGTACACAACCTTCGGCGTCTCCAGAACAGCAGGCACATCGTACGTGACGGTGGGCGACGCGAACTCGTCATCAGCGAATGCAGTGAGTCGAATCACACGCGGCGGCGCTGCACTGCCACGCCACGGGCCCCACGGCCGCTCCTCTGGTACTGCTGCTGTGTCCAACTCAATAGGCTGTATGTACGACGGCGACGCTGTGGTGGGCGCTGTGCCGTTGAGTGTGTAACGCACATCGCGCAGCGTGAAGGGAATACCGTTCGACACCACAACAAACTGCCGCAACGCGGCATCAAAGTAACCGCACGGCGGCGGCACGGCACTTGGCACCTCCACCTCTGCCAGCGCGCTTGCATAGGCGCAGCGGGCCATACCGCAGATGCGCAGCAGCGTACCCGGCTGCTTGCGGTATAGCCGAAGGTCAAACACGCCGTTACTCGGCACCTGCTGCAGCGCAGCACGACTCGCATTGCGCCGCGGGTCGCTCCCGTCCGCTGTCAGCACATACGCGATGCCCGGTGTCACGTCGAGCTGCAGCCGCATCGCCGCGACGTCCACCTCCACATGCGGCTTCGGCACGCGCAAGTGGCACTGCAGCATCTGCCACTTTGCCGCGGCGAGGAAGGCCGCCGCCGCCGTTGTTAGTGATGCGTCGAGCACGTGCGTCACCTGCAGGCACTGCGTTGTGAGGGAGCGGGCGTGGTGCGTGTTGCCGGGGGCGATCTCCACGTACTTGCTCGCCCCCATCTGTCGCGCAAGCTCCACCGCCTCCGCGTGCGTCACCGCAGTCGTCGCGCCGGGGCCCGGCGATGCGAAGCCGACCACCACGACAGGCGTGACGGGCCACACCGCGTGGCGCCGCGCCTCGGCGACGTCCTGCGCGAGGACCGCAAAGGCACGCACTGCCTCCTCCTTCCAACAGCGGTGCTGCAACACGTCGAATGTGCGGCGGTCGGAGAGGCTGAAGCACATGAGTATCACGTCGCTCGCGATGCACAACTCGCCACGCAGTGAGGCGGTCACATCCGCGACGCCTGGCACGAGCACCTCCAGTAGAGGGAATGAGGC